GAGAGCGGCCTCTGGGGGATCCCCGGAGCTCCAGCGCCCGGCCTCGGACCCTCTCCGCGCCCCTGCCTCCGATTGGTTACCAGGCCTAGAGCCCACTCAGCATTGGCTCTCTCGTCTGTCATTTGGTTATGGCTCTGCCCCTAGCGGGAATAAACGGAAAGCCGGGTCTCTGGTCTTTGAGACCTTGCCTTAACCGGTTACTGAGCGGCCTCTGGGGGATCCCCGGAGCTCCAGCGCCCGGCCTCGGACCCTCTCCGCGCCCCTGCCTCCGATTGGTTACCAGGCCTAGAGCCCACTCAGCATTGGCTCTCTCGTCTGTCATTTGGTTATGGCTCTGCCCCTAGCGGGAATAAACGGAAAGCCGGGTCTCTGGTCTTTGAGACCTTGCCTTAACCGGTTACTGGAGGACCACAACACGGACTCCCGGCCAGCTGCACTTGCACGGAGGCAGACCCCTCTCCCCCAAGAAAACCCCAGACAACCACGCAGACATATAGAGGAAGCTCGGGAGAGCCCTGGACTGGGAGTCCTTTAGGCTGTACGACTATGACCTTGAGCAAGCTGTTTTCCCTCCCTATATCTCGGCCTCTGACTTCCTGCGGGGTGTGGGGTGAGGGCTCTTGGTAAATGACCCCAACCCTGGGTTAGAAATGGGGCTTAGAGGACGCACGGTGTTTATCCTGGTGGCATCGTCTGGCAGCTCAACCAGCGAGCTACCTGCATTCCTCACAGTCGCTCCATTTCAGCACTATCGTCGCAGGGGGAGGTCGGCACACACCCTCTTAAGGGCATGTTTTTAAGGAGCTAATGGAGATCGGGCGCAGCTAGGTACAAATGCATCTTGGGCTGGGAACCTGGAAACCACGTTTTTAGCAGTTGTTTGGGTGACAGTGATTATCAGTAAATTTTGGGAGGAGGTGTCGACAAGCCATACTTGCGAGACACTGCTATGGATTTTTTTAGAAGGAAACACCGGGGCCCAGAGACATCTGCGCACTTGGACAAAGCCATGCGAATGGCCAACAGAATTAGAATTCGAAACCAGTTTTCAGGCGTTCGGGTTTCAGGTGCTGGCTCCAAATCCTACAAGCAAGCAGTCTCAAGAGCCAGTCTCGAGTAAAATCACCGCCTGCCCCCTGCAGGCCACTGCGCTCAATCTGTTTGGGAGCCCTGGGCCCCGCCTCCAGGACTGGACCCCGCCCTCACGCCCTGTCCCGGCCTATTATTGGGTTACCCCCGCATGTCTCCCCAACTTGGTCCCTGAACGCCTGCTCCGGGCTGGAGTTTACCCCTGCGGTGACCTTAAGACCTCACATTCTCTAGAAATGTGTATCCCAGACACATCTCTAACTCAGTGGTGTTAGGAACCCCGGAGCTGGGCGACAGGGTTTGTCGGAGCTCTTTCTCAACTGCGCCGACCCGGAAGCGGTGAGTCCCAGGGACACTGCAAGCAGGCTACGCACGTCCGGGAGCCGTTCCACTAGCGGTATCCCGGGTAGGTGGGGGCGAGACAGCCCCTGTGGCAGGTATGCCTTGGAGGTGGGGATTGGGATGGGCGCGCCGTGCACAGTTGGGGAAACAGACTCAGAGAAAAGCTCGCCTTGTTCAGTAATAACCTGCAATGCTGGCTTCGGGCTTGGTTCTTCCCCGGGCGGCGCACAGATAGATGGGCAGAGTCGCCTCTTGTGTCCAGCAGACTCATGTCCATGTCCCTCCCGGGACCACCCTGGCTGGGTGAATCTGGGCATGTCGCGACAGCCAGTTTGTCTCTGAGGATGTGTTAATTAATGCTTGGTAAATACTAGTTTGCACCTTATTCTTTCTGGAAATAAAGGGGGCAGCTGGTTTTAAACCGTCAGTTAAACTTGTTTGTGACAATTTAAATATAACATTTAAAATTTAATCGGCAATTTATACTGTTTGGGCTTATGGGTTAAATTATTGGAAGAGTTTCAGCATCCAAATGACAGTGCATGCAAAATGATATAAACAAAGCTCCCAAGCAAGGCAGTCTCTTGCCACTGGTAATATTAGAGACTATAACTTGGGATACCTGCTGTGTGATGAGCTGGCTTCTGGGCCTCTGGCATTCATTGACCAATGCATCCCTCACCGTGGGGTCGGTATTGTAATTCTCCCACTTTATGGATGAGGAAAGTGAAAGTCGGAAATAATGACTTTCCCAAGGTCAAATACCCTGGGGCCAAACACGGGTCTGTCCTACTGCTAAACTTATGCCCTGTCCCACCTCAGGTTTATTTTAGCAGAGACTGAACTATAGAGAATGACCTTACTTCTGCCAAAAATGTGAAGAAAACATAAGTGGCCAAGACAAGAAGAATGAAATAGGTGGGTGAAGGTCTAGATGAAGTTGAGAAAGTGATAGTAAGAGCATGCCCTTTTCTTGACAACTCCTGCTTCTCCCTTCCATCCCCTTAAGGTGGCAACCATTTTGAGGACCAAAGCCATTTGGGAGCCTAACTAGAGTCTGTCACCTCTCATCTCCACACAACCAGACCACAGGCCATTTGCAGGACCTACTTCAGTGGCTGACATCACAAAGAAGACGTTGCACTCGGAAGCCTTTTCCTGAATCATGGGGCTTTGGAGACAAATGCTGCGGACTCTTCCATTTGGCCCCAGTGGGAGGAGGAGAGGCACCCAGGGCCGGGCCTTTGGCTTATGGCCACCCTGTCCACCTCTACCCAGGCTGTTGAATGCCACAGAGCTAGTCAGCCACTGGACAGGGATCTTTGAGAAGAGAGGCATCCCAGAGGCCCAAGTATCTAGTGAATACATCGTGGCTCATGTCCTTGGAGCCAAAACAGTTAAGTGCAGTGTTATCAGGAGTATACGAAGAGAGAGGTGGGAGAACCTTGGGGAAGAGACATCTGGATTTTTTCTCACTGAGTACTTAGCTGAGTTGGATGAAACTTCCTTTTTTGAAGTAATGTTCTAGGTAGGACTTAACTAGCTCTTCCAAAAAACTGTTACAGTATGTGCTGGATACTAGGAATTCAGGGATGACTGAAATAGCCAGTGGTGAACCCATTGCCATTATCCACATTGTCCTTGAATTGAGGCCCCTTGACCAGGGGAACCAGCTGTTCACATTCTCTCTTGGGATAGTTTCAGAGCTTGCAGCCAGTACTTCGAACCCAACCCCTGACTCCTCAACAACTGCTGTGCATTCAGGAGCTGTGTAGCTACCGATTGCAGAGGTGAGCACCCATGGGTTAGCCCTAAGGCCTCTTGTGGGTAGCACACAGCTTCCTCCAGCCCCACCAAGCTCATGGCCAGGGAGGAGAGAAGTGTCTAAAGACTAGGGAGGTGTTGGGGTGAGAGAGTAGCAAGAGGTGACCAAGGTGTAAATAGGAAGAAGGGACATGGCCTTGCTTGACAGCTTTGGCCACAAGTGGTATCCTTTACCTCAGGCTTGGTTCTGGCTTGGGCACCGATGACCACCTGGCTTCTCCCTGTGCAGGATGCCTGTGCAGTATATCCTTGGGGAGTGGGACTTTCAGGGGCTCAGTCTGAAGATGGCACCCCCAGTGTTCATTCCACGGCCTGAGACAGAGGTGAGTGTGCTCTCAGGACAAGACAGATGAGATGGAATTCAGTGTACTTGTCTTTCCCCAGTCTTCCTCCAGAGGGTGCTAGGACCTCATAATTACCATTCTCAGGGGCAGTGCCCTTCCAGACTGTGTCTCCTTGCAAACTGGGTTGGCTGGGGCCAAAACTACAGAGGACTCTTATTGGGCCCTGGTGACTGTCCCTTAAACCAGCAGTTCTAGAGAAGGGAGATGTAATAGGGGTGGCCAGGCATTGGTCCTGCAGAATTATGAGTGGATGTGGGCACTGGGTATCTTGCTGATCTAAGAGTTCACTATCCCTCCCTCAAGCCATCACCTAAGCTCTCTGAACTAACAGAGTACCCCAAATAGAGCTGTCCAAGTGTGAAGCCTATTCTTACAGTTGTCCTAGGAGCTACCCTGTGAACCCATGGCCCTCTCAATCTGTGAGAAACTAATGCCCTCTAGAAACTTCTTTAAAATTGTAAAAGAGACATGGAGAAAATTGTATATAAATTCCTGGAAGCCTGGTATGAGCTGTGTAACTGCAGGCAGATCACTGCCCCTTTTGAGTCCAGATGATGAACAGGTTGGGCCTTCAGACCAAGGAATCTGTGACTTGGGGTCCTCTTAGTTTACTGTCTGGTGCACTAAATATATACGTCAGTCCCTCAAATTGCAAGAACTGGACATGTGTGACCCAAACATGCTGCCTCTTGGTGAGGTAGCCTGATCCTGGGAGTGATGCTTTCTATGGTCCTCCTTGGTCTTCCTTCTTACTTTGTGGATAGCAGAGCTGACCAGCGAGAACAGACCAGGACTGGAGTGGGACAGTGCTGAGTAGGGCTGGCGGGAAAGCCAGATGGCACCAGGACCTGTGAAGGGTTGTTTCTAGAAAGATACCCAGGCACATAAACATTCCTGGGAAGAATCAGGCCCTTTCTACCAGCCCTATATAGGGTTCCAGACCCATTGCCACTCTTCCACAAAACCCTCTGACCCCTCTCATCACCCTATCATGTGGTTAGGAGACTGGATCTTCACCTCAGTGCCAGTGTTAGGGCAGGAACAGGAAATCTGAGGCCTTGATGAAGCCATAAGACTGGCAAGCAGGAGAATGTGGGGATAGCACTTAAGACTTTGGGGCCATCCCATCTAGGGTTGGCATCCAGAGCAGGATGTGACCTGCCACCTGCAGGCTTTTGGGAAACCACCCTGTATCCTCCCCACCCCCCAGACATGTGGCTTCTGATCAGGAGGTCACTTGACATCCTCTGAGGCTGCCAAGGGTTAGGGCATGGGAGGATGGCTCTCATAATGACCTTTGAGTCACTGCAGAATTGACCTGGCACCAGCCATGTGTCCTGGGCTTCTGAGTGTTGGGTGTAAGCTTTAATTTCCACATGGCCCCCCTTTCTAGGGTAGGTGTGAGCCAGGAAAGCAACTTTGCTGCAAGAGACAAGGAAGGGGGATGCTGTAGTTGGGAGGCAAGCCCTTACCTGACTGTATAGAGATTTCTGAGAAGTCACCAGGTTTGCCCCAACATGCAGCCACAGTGGGGCAGGGGTGCCTTACCAAGAACTCAAGAGGATGTGGCCTGTGGCAGGGAGTGGGGAGAAGGGTGTAGGGGAGTATGGTGACTGTTCTCTCCATCTACTGAGGGTAGTTTATGATGATGGGTGCAGAATTCTGAAGTACAAAGTCACAAGTGGCTTGTGGCCTGATGAGTTGGGGTTTCCCTGGGGGTGTCTCCTACATGGCAGCATGTATAGTAGGAAACCCAAGGCTGGGGTGTGAGCCGCCTGGCCCAGCCCAGTATGGTGAGGTTATGTGGGCACTGGGGGATTCAACACTATCTGCAACGTATTTGGGAGAGGCAGTGTTACCTTCCTGGGATCCTAATGGAGGGTGCATATGGCACTATTTCTGCTGAGGCCTTGGGTCATTCTCTTAGGGGAGTGTACAGTACATGTTGGGACAGTGGACAGCAGTTGCCCACTCCTTCCCTCCTGCCCACGTGCCCCTGTCCCTCCGACCCACCACACTCTTGAATTCTTTCTATATTCACCCAGAGGAGATGCCCAAGACCTGTGACCAGCTCAGCTTTCAGTGTCCCCCAGAGAGCCCCAGCTTCAGGCTGAGGGAGGGTCTCTGCTATTTGGGAAGAGGACCTTCTTTCTAGACCTCCTGGGGTGGTCACCACTGTGCCCCACAGATGGCTCCATAAACAAGATGAACCTCCTGTGATCTGGAGTAGGAGGGAGAAGGCCACTGGGGGGGCCTGTTCACATAGGTGTTATGGGGAGATCTCTGAAAGGTGGCTGGCCAGTGTGGCTGGTTGATGGGTCATCTTCCAGCTGTAGTAGGCAGTCTATAACCAAGAAACTGAGAGGCTCATACCCTGACACGTCTCCACCCTGCTGGAAGGGTACCTTTCAGAAGGGGCCACACTGCCTTTGCCTGCTCCATGACTGATTACTTGGGCCTCCACTCCACTGCTGGTTGGAAGTATTTTAGCACAGTAGCCACCCTCCACCCTTGCCCCTACCCTGTGTTGGCTTCAGTCCCTGTAGGCAGCAGGTGGCGAGTGAGATATAAAAACCTTTTGTATCCTTCCACTGCCAAGATGGATACAGTGCATCTCTTCCCACAACCATACACCCCTTTCCCATGTTCTGTGTATGCCACAGGAACTTTCAGATAGAGGACCTAGATGGGACTGTGTCCTTGCCCCATGGAGAGCATTATGTCCCTTTGTTTAAGAGTTGCTCTGAGGACCTCCCAAATTTAGCTCCATGAGGAAGCTAGGGACAGACTAGTACCTAACTTCCTTCCTCCCTGCCTCCTTCCCTCCCTTCCTTCCTTTCCTTCTCCCTTTCCCTCCCCTCCTCTCCCTGGCAAGTGCTATACTATTGAGCTGTACCCACAGCCTGCAGCCTTTGATTCTGGAGCACTGTGAGGCATAGACCAGGTGAGGCTTTGACCTTTGGGCCTCAGTTTCCTCATGAGCCAGTTGTGAGGATCCAACAGATTAATACAAGGGAGCTGGGTCAGGCACAGAGAGACTTCCAGGAGCCATCAGGTATAGCTCTTAGCATTTCTGTGAGCACAAAACAGGAGAACATCTGGGAAGGGTTCTGCTGGGATTTATTTTGCACATACCATACGCCAGGTGTGGGATCAGTGCTTTGTGAACTTGGCTTATCCCCCATAGAGAGGGTTGTGCTCAACTATGCTGAGTTTTACAGATGAGAAAACAGAGGCATTAAAAGGCAGGGAGACCTGCCCAAAGTTCCAACCGACATGAGGTCAACCAGGCTTTGGGCAAACCCCTTTCTAACATTCACTCAGGCTAATTGGTTGTGGGTTTCTGCCAAGAACCCCAAGAGCCAGGTGGACACCAGCTCTGATCCAGACTCGTTTGCCTCACAGGAACTGGTAGAATGGGTACTGGAGGAGATGAGCCAGAGGCCCCATGTAATAGGACAAGATGGCCCCCGCATTCTGGAGGTGGGCTGTGGATCAGGAGCCATCTCCCTCAGCCTGTTGACCCAGCTCCCTGAGGTAAGCTCCTCTTCACTCTACAGCTGTACTCTGCCCAAACTGACACGCACTGCCCCTCAAGAACCCTTTCCCCACATTCCTCTGCTAGAAGCACTTGAGAGAAGGTGACCAGATGTGGAAGGATGAGGTAGTTCTGGCCCAATGTAGTACAGCCTCCAGCTCTCATCCCAATCTGTCTGTCTAGGCTCTGGCCATAGAAAAGAAAACACTGTTGCAAGTTCCATCTTCCTCTGATGGGAAATGCAGGTGGGAGATGCATCTCCTTGGATGGGACCTGCTTCTCCCAGCACTCTGCCTTTCATTTGTTCTTCGAGCAGAGCCAAGTCATTGCTGTGGATAAAGAGGAAGCCGCCATCAGTCTGACTTCTGAGAATGCTCAGAGGTAGGTGGGCTGGGGAGCCAGAGGACAAGCATGAGGGAATTGGACCTTGGGGCCTGAACTTGACCTTTATTTACTGTCAAACCCACCAGTGTCTGATTTCTGCTGCAGACAAGGGAGATGTAATAGGGGTGGTCTGGCATTGGTCCTGTAGGATTATGAGTAGATGTAAGCACTGGCTATCTTGCTGGTCTAAGGGCTCACTATCCCTCCTCATCCTTGTAGCCAAGGGTAAGGATATATCCCCCTCATACTCTCTCCCTCCTCTCCATCTCTTCAGGCTTCAGTTACAGGACAGGATTTGGACTATCCTCCTCGATGTGACCTCAGGTACTCTTTCCCACCCATTTTCCTTTGATTGGGCATGCTGGCTTAGGTGCTGCTGGGTGGACAAAGCACCTGCAGAGATGGAGGGAGGGTTTCCCAATAGTTGGATGCACACAGGCCATCTCAGACCAGTCCGTGCTGAGGATGGACAAGTTGCTGCTGCCTCCTTGGCTGATGTGATCCAGGAGGGGACCAGTCACAGGATTTTTCTTACCTTCTTAAATCCCCATAACTAATGAGTTTTATTATGGCTTACTTGTTGACAAGAGATAAATGGAGGCTTAAGAAAGAGCCCATGGGACAAAAATCTTGAGTGCCCTCCCTACCCTCTCCCAATCTAGGAAGAGGTAGCCCAGAACTCCATGGCCCAGCTTCAACTTTCGCAGTGTCCTCAGGTTTCCAGCACTGGTGCTGGCTCTGTCACATTACCATGGGGTCTTTAGCCTCATGTGCTTCCTCCATGGTGCATGATACAGGTGATATAGTACCTGGCACAAAGTGGGACCAAGAAACAGCTGCCAAGCATTTTCTGGCTGAGGCTGGGTCTGCCCTACCTGCATTCTCAGACCGTATGTCTGTAAGGCAGAGTGTGTCAATTCCAGTGGTGTTGAAGAGGAAAGAGGCTTTTGCTTTGCCCAGGCAACCATGGAGAGTTTCGTGGAGGTCGTACTTGAGGTAAATATTGTTTAATGAGCTTTTGTCAGAAAAGAGAAAGAGCAAGGACATCTAGGGCCTCTAGGTAGAAATCTTCCTGTTAGAGCATGCATATCCCTGGTCATTCTACTGGCTTGGGAACTCTGGGCACTAATCTTTAAGTGTGGCCTATTAGGTCTGGAGACAGGCCCAAGATGTGGCTTCAGCAGAGAGACTACCCAAGGAACATGGTGTCAGGTGAAGCTACCATCGCTTTTTCTTGATGAACTAGTTATGCTGTGTGTCTCCTTTTTGACCTCAGAAGAGAGCTGGACACATCTTCTACCGTGGGGCTCTGTGGACCTGGTTGTCAGCAACCCTCCGTATGTCTTTCACCAGGACATGGAGCAGCTGGCTGCAGAGATCCGCAGGTTTTGAGTGGGGCAGGCCTCAGAAAGCCTAGTGGGATTGGGCTGCCCTGGAGGACCACACTGGTGGGTGGGGTGGTTTTCAGCCAAGAGTGGCAGTGGTATTGAGAGGTACTCTGCTTAGAGCCCACAGTCCTACTTAGATTCAGCTTCTCTCTTCATGTTTCCCACTTGAGACTCCTCTCTAAGCCTCACTTTCCTGCCTCTGAAGGGGAATGAACAGTACTTTCCAGGGCCATGGGGAAAGCTCAGTGACACTGGACACCATGAGGGCTCATAGAAGGAATTGAGTGTGTGCTATTTTATAGAGGATAGGTCTAGAGAGGGGTGGTGCTTGTTTAAGGTCCTATGGGGACAGAATGGGAAAGCTAAAATTAAAACCCTCCTGCTGACTGCATAAGCCATCCTGCTTTTACCTGAGCTGAGGATCAGGGAAGCCGAGGAGCACCTGAATGGGAGCAGTAGTGTGGGTCAGAGTACTAGTCCCCCATTCTGGATTCTCAGAGGTAGTTCTCGGAGGATCTGGATCTCCCAAATCAAAACCCCCGTTGTGAGTACCCTGTTAAGGGGAGACCCTTATGTCCTGGGCCAGGCTGTAATGGGATTCAGCAACATGCTGGGCACTGCCTGGTGGGGATGCTGCCCACAGTAGGTTGGGATGTAGGAGCTGCCTTCCATTTGGGGGGACTACCTCCTCTGGGTCCCCGCACTTGCCTCTCAGCCCAGAGTCTGAGTTTCAGGGAACCCTGCCTTGTGGAAGCCTTGCCTGGATCTCCTACTTTTCAGGCGTATGCTCCCCAGTCCCCCACCAATCAGGTCTCACCCCTTGCCATTTATCCATTCAGCTATGAAGATCCAGTGGCCCTGGATGGTGGGGATGAGGGCATGGACATCATTACTGACATCTTGACCCTGGCACCTCGACTTCTGAAGGACTCTGGGTATGATAGAACAGGTTTCCTGGGTGTGTCCCCACCTTTTCTGCTCCCAGTGCGTACTGGGTACATCCTGGCAGTCATTCTGCCTCCACCTCTCCCAGCCTAGGTAACCCATAACTGCAAGTCCTGGCCCTACCCAATTGAGCTGACCCATTTCCCCCCCATATAGAAGTATCTTCTTGGAAGTGGACCCAAGGCACCCAGAGCTTGTCAGTAATTGGCTTCAAAGTCAGCCTGATTTGTACCTCAATCTTGTGGCTGTGCGCAAGGACTTCTATGGGAAGTAAGTCCCGACCCACCCACTGTTCAATGGCCATAGTGGTCCTTCCCCTGTCCAGTTGTGGGATGAGTGCTCTTCTTGCCCACTGCACATGCCCTGGAGCTCTGGCGCTAACCAGCTCTCATTCCTGTCTCCTCAGGCCCCGGTTCCTGCATGTACAGAGGTCTGGGCCATAGTGTGGTCCCCAGCCTGCCTGAGTGCCTGGCTGACCCTTCTTGGAGTGATGGATGGTGCTTTCTAGAACCCCAGGTGCTTGCAGCACTCCCATGGTTTTGTGATTCCTTATGATGCACACTTCTGAGAGACTTGGAAACAAGGATTGGGGTGTCCTTCCTGGGCAGCAAAAAAGCATCCACAGTTTGACTTAGAAGCTGTGCAGACTCATGTTTCCAGTCTAGCTCCATTACATCACTGTGACTGAGGACAGGTTGCTCCATGTTCTTTTTTGTGGAATTGCTGTACAGGTTCTGGGAAATGTGGACATTGAAGCATCAAGAAACTGACAAGTAGCAACCCAGTGTTCTTTTGGTTTTTTGTTTTGTTTTGTTTTAGTATATGTGCTGCTGGTTTATGGGTCCCTGACTCCTCTAATTCCTGGACAGTGCAAGGGTGAGATTTTCTTTCTGCCCCAGCAAGGCTGACAAGTTCCCTGCTTGGTTGGGGCATGGCACTCACTCCTCTCCTTGTACCATAGGGCCCTGGACTGAGAGCCCCTCCTAGGATTGACTAGAACTCCACCAGCCAGTGCCCTTGCACAGTTCCCTGACTGGGCCCAGGCTCTGACCATGGTTTCAGGAGGGGATGGGGCTGAGGAGTCTCAGCCCACAATTCTGGAGTTGTATGCTCATAGCCACCTAACTGAAAACTTGAGCCAGTGCACCTGAACAGGGCTTTGATTTACCTTTATTCCTGTAGCTTTTATTGGTTGATTAATCAGTTGGTTTTTTGAGATAGAATCTCACTATGGCTGGCTTTGAACTCACTATGTAGCCCAGGCTGGCCTCAAACTCTTGGTGATCCTCCTGCCTCAGCCTCCCGATTGTACTACCTCAACTGGGATTACAGGGGTGTGCCTTTTAGCTAAACATCCCTCCCAGGTTAACCTTAGTGTTTCATTTTACTCATTTCTTTCTGGTTGAGCCAGAGAGAGTGAGAAGGCAAGACAGTGAATACCAAGTTGAGACCTTCCCTCCAGCTCTAGTCTCTGCAGATTCATGTCCATGTTGGTAGCAATGGGAAACCTCTAGGTTGGTGACTGCTGGCGTAAGGCTGCATCAGGTTAATTCCTAAGGAGCATGACAGACCAACAGACCCTCCTCCCTACAACTTGGCACTTTTAGGCCTGACCTAAATGCATTAGCCAGAGGCAGTGTGTCTGGTGGGCAGCATCCTGGGCTGGAGCTGGGATGACTGAGTTCCAGGGCTATGTCTTACAGTGGACCACAGGCAACTCCTTTTCCTGTGAAGGAGGAGCTGGTTCTTCTGAGTCTAAGGGCAATGCAAAGTGGCACCTTTCTTTTACTTGTAGTAAGCTAAGCAGAGGGTGCATGCTGGTAGCTGAATATCTGTTGTCCAGACAGATAGTCCAAGGCACAAACAGAAGATGTGACCTGTCCAAGGGCCCAGGATAGGATGGCCAGGTGGAGACAGGAAGTTAGGTCTCTACCTTAGGAGAGGTATTATATTGCTGGAGTTATGCCCACTCTGAGTGTCACCCACTGCTATGGTGGGGAGCACATTTGCCTTGGCAGAGGCCAGGCTGCAAGTCCCAGAGCCCTAGTATCTGACATGTGGCACCCAAAAGAGTATAATGGAGAATGACAGTGTAGGGATAGCTGGGGTCAGTGGAGCAGGAGCCACCCTTTGGTCTAACTTTTTTCCCAGAAAAATGTGAGGCCTGGCTCTGCTGGAGATAAGGTCCAAGCCAAACAAGGCAAGGCCTCAGGCCTGTTGTCATTGACTTGATTGGGCCCTGGAACTACACCATCCAGAGTTCAGGTCCTGGAATCTCCTCACCAAGAAGTGATCTTGGACAGATGACTTCACCTTACTCAGCCTTGGCCTCTAAGCCTGAGAAATGGAACCAATGCTTTATTTTATAGGATGGTTGTAAAGAGCCCATGGGATGTAGCATTCTCAGAACATTGTGCGTGTTTTCATAATCTACGTCAGATGACAGAAATAGGAAGGCAAGACCCTGTAGCCTCCTGTGTCTGTCTGATGCATGGCAGGCAGACAGGGGAGTCTGGAAAGGAAAGACAACAAGGATTTCAGTCCTGGGCTCTTGGCTTCTCCCTGCCATCTGGGGATGGAACCACCTGTGGCTGAGAAACTGACAGCCCATACCCCCGCAGCCCCTCCAAACATGGATCTGAGTGCACTGAAGCCCAGGCTAAGGCAGCCCATGGCTTCTGTTCGGCCAGGTTCACCTGCCCTGTCCTCTGATTCCTAAGGCCACAGCCTGAGACTTGAGCCATGTCTTGTGGCACACATCAAGGAGGACCCGGAGTAAGAATGGGAAGAGGATGTGGAGCTAATGGTACAATGCAGCCTCCATAGAACCCTGAGGTCTTGAGGAACATGCCTTCAGCCCCAGGTATCCTTCAGCCAGAGCCCAGAACCTGGCAAGAGAAATTCCTGTTTGAGGTTCTTTGGGAGAAAAATCCAACCCTCTTCTCTGCTGGCTGCAGAAATAGGCCTTGTCTCATAGTTGAAAGCTTTCCCTAGCTGCTTCCTAGGGCTTAGCCAGCAGCCAGCTGCTTTATTGTATATACCCCCAAACTCCTGACTACAAGAAATACACCCTTTTCTGCTTCTCCGCTCCCACCTGCACCCTGGGCCATCACCTGTTCCCAGTCCCTGTCCTAAACCTTTGGCTGGCCTTCCAGTACCTGAGTGTGGTTCCTGTGTTCTGCAGAGTCTAGATCTGTAGAGGTGGGGAACAGCCATGGAAAGGGTCCTGGAGACCCTTTCCTGGCCCTGTGGGTACTCTGTGTAAGCTGCAATCAGAACAAAGCATTCTACTGCTGACAGGTATGAGAGCTAATGGCCTGAGATAGAAAACCTTTCAACTTCTGCAGACTGGTGTGTCTTTCACCCATAGTTTTCTCTCTATTGCCCTGGACTTCAGTGTCCCTGTAGCACTCTTCACTCTCAGAACACACCTTCCCTGTGCCCTTGCTTGCTACTGCTAGTCTAAATGATGTCTCATCCCCTGTTCCAACACAAACACTTCCTCCTTTGGAACACCAGTTCTGACCTCTCTGTTCTCCCTGCCTGCCCTAGCCCATGTCTCCCAGTGCCAATAATGTTATGTCCCATGCATTTGGAAACCTTCCTGTCTCATCTTCCTGGGGCCCCCTGGGAGTCTGGCATACTCAAGTTCAGTAGACATCCACCAGGGTGGATGACAGGGTGAACATTTTCTAGAATAGGGCTGGAACTCCAACATGGCCCACCTCTGACCTGTCAGCAACTCTTATGTATTCTGGTTAGCAGAGGAATTCATGAGTGCCTGGCCTCCTGCCTGAGCCAGGCAGCTATTCAAGTTAAGCTACTGCGGCATTGAGGGCTCAAGTGCACCCGATCCCTGCACGACAGCCATGCCAGGAGAACAGGCTGTCCTTGGCAGTGGCAGGGACAGGTCCCCGGCTTTCTGAAGTTCCTGACCATGGGTAGCCAAGATGATGACTAGAGCAATGCCTGTTGCCCTTTCATGACCCCTCTGCCCTGGATAAGATTCCTGGATTGGTTTGAGACTGGCAAACAACCCTAACCTTCCTTTGGTACTTAGAATAGTGGCCCCCAGTGATACCCACATCCTCATTTCCAAAAAACCTTCTGTGGCAGAAGGGACTTTGCAGATGTAATTAAGAATTATGAGATGAAAAGACTGTCCTGGGTTATTTGGGCAAACTCAGTGTAGTCACAAGGTCTTTATAAAAGGAGGCAAGAATGTCAGAGAGAAGGTGTGATAATGAAAATGAGGTGAAAGTGATGTGGTTGCTGAAGGAAGGGGCGGAGAGCCAAGGAATGCAGACAGCCTCTCTCCAGAGCCCTAGAAAAAATGATCCTGCTGACACCTTGATTTTAAGCCCAGTGAAACATTTTGGATTTCCAACCTCTTGAATTTTAAGATGATAAATTTGTGGTATTTCAAGTCACTAAATTTATAATGTATTACAGCAGCCATAGAAAACTAATATAGACTTTGGCATCTAAAGTAGAGTGCTGCTATAACACCTAAAAAATGGAGGCAGGTAGCTTTGGAATTGGAACACGGAAATGGCCAGAGACTGGAAGAGTTTTGAGAAGCGTGATACATTGCCTCAAGCACCTTTCCTAGGAGATAGTGTGGCTGTGGTAGAGGGGTGGGGAACCCTCCTCAGCTGCCAGCCTGAACATCTCACTGTGTTTAGAGAGCTGGAACTTTATCGAGTGAAAGGACTGGGAGGTAAGCAGGGTATCAAAAGATTGTTGGACATCTTGGTCTTATAAGCAGGAATCAGATATACAGTATAAGGGTTAAAATATCCCAGGAACCTCTTCTTATGCCTTCAGCAGACCTGGTCCTTCTGGTCTTTTGCTTTTCTTTTTGTGGTGCTGGAGATTGAAAGTCCAGGTCCTTGAGCATGCTAGATAAATACTTTCCTGCTGAACTACATCCTCAGCCACCTGGCTTTTCTGTGAAAAGCATATTTTACAGTTGACAGAATGGAAGAGGCAAGGGGAGCCTACCTTTGCTATATTGGGAGCCCTGGACTGGACTGACCTGCCCTTGGGCCCAGCTGAAAGCTCAGCTGCTGGCCCTCTGTGAGGCAGGCTTGGTCTGGCTGGGTGGGGGCCTAGGGCTCAGACCCCTAGGTCTCCACCAGGAATTCTGCTTCTCAGAACAGGGCATGCCACCTCACTGCCCCCTGCTTTTCTGGGGCATGTCGTGGGCAATGGAGAAGTCAGATGTCCTACTCAGTCTCTTTGTGAACTCTGTTGCTAGCCTTTCCTCCAACTGAAGACCCCCACTTTGCTTTCCAGGAATAGTCCTGCCTTTTGGTAGTCAAATTCCTCTGCCTTCCTGGAAGTCAGTGTGAGACTGATCTCTGTGAGTGTACACAGTGAACTGGAGCTGGCACTGCCTGAACCTTATTTACCCTTGGACTTTGCAGCTGGGGGAAGGATCCAGGCAGCCTCTCAGCCCTCTTTTACCATCTTGCCTTTTGAGCTCCTGCTGGGTGCTGGGCTCTGAGCAGCTGCTTTGCATTTGTTAGTTATAAATCACATGGAACATTTCACACAGGAATTTTAATCATCCCCATGTTGTAGGTGAGGACACCAACACTCAGCAGGGTATAGTCATGGGTCAGAAGGTATAGACTGGAAGAGAGGACAAGGCTGCCATGGGTGCACACTTGACTGTCAGAGGCACTGAGACTACTGTACCCAGGCCCTGGGCTATGCCCTGCAGAGCTCAGTGCTGAGGCCACCTGGGTCTGTGGACCCTGAGCAGAAGCAGAGGT